TCCCCGTAGATGCTGCTTGACCTGCTGAGTGCTCTGTTTTTTGCTTAACGTAACAGACTCAATGCAGTCATTTGTAAAATCAAGTACCCGGAACATGGGGCGATTTGAGCACAATACCTCAGCTGGAAATTATTGAACGCTTACACACACTAAGTGGCCCTGGGAAAGAACAAGGGAAATGGCCAAGCTAAATAATAAATATAACAGTATTTCCATTTGATGGAGTGGCTTTCACATCAGAAGGACTTTAGAGGAATTACCATAAAGTGTAGTAACTGTGTCATTTTGTTTTCGAGGGAAGGGAAGGTGACCACCAATTTTGCACATAACAATGTTGCACCTGAACACACAAACACAGGACCTCAGTTTAACATTTCGTCCAAAGGACAGCGTCTCCAACAATGCAGTCACCCACACACACCCCCCCCCGGGACTGTATTGGAAGGTCAACCTCGATTGCGAGTTTAAAATCCCGATGTGGGGCTTGAACCCACAACCTGCTGACTCAGAGGAGAGAGTGCTACCAACTGAGCCGGGCTGACACCTAAAGAGGTACAGTACAGTTTCATGTCAAAACACTGGTCTCAATCTGCTGAACTGCTATTCATTTTGTGTCCAATTAATTTCGAGCAACTACGGATCTCTCATGTCATTCCCCGCACCCCCCCCATCCCCGACCGACCCCAATCACTCCCAGTGTCACTTGCAGTACAGATACGCCTGGTTAAAATTCTGCCCGTTCGGTAGATATCAGAGCATTTAAATGTCTTGCTGTTACCTACGAGGAAACATTCCCGGTGTAAATCATCGCAAGCCCAACCAGTGATCAATCAACCAGGAAAAATCGCCCCCGTGAGCAGAAGAGAGCGAGAGGATGAGCAGGAAGTCAAGTGACTGATGAGCAAGTGGTTGTTTATTAGTCAGAATTAACTGCAATAAACAGCATTAATTTTGCGCACGCACAGCACATACACCACAGAATGTGACGGTTTTAATAAAGTATAAATTACAGCGTTCACGTGGATGGCATAACCATAACATTTTTAAATCTACGTCAACCAGAAGTTGTTGAGTTTTGCTGGAGAGGGTTAGCACTGAGTGTGTGTTTCAATTTTGTGTGAATACATTGATTAACGTTATGGCGGTCCAATTTATTTTTACTGTAATTTAAATCTTCCTTGTGATTCATTTTACCAACTAAAATCATTTTGACATAAGTCGCAAGTCTCAAATAGAACAAAATTGTTATTTGTTAGGTTAATTTTTCTGCACAGGAACGACTGTCAGTGTGAGCGCTCAATCTCGGGTAGTTTTTCATCAAAACTCCAGTGGCAGCTGCACTTGCCATGTGGGATAATAAAACTGCTTCAACATCCCCTATCCAATTCTTCATTATTCATCTTTAGAGACAAGCCAACTGCTGGCCTGTTCCATAAATTCCCTTTGGTTAAAACAAGTCCAGTTAAAATACTGTACGCAGAAGCTAGGGACTAAATTAGAACAAGCCTGGTCTATGATCGTTTATATTTCCAGGAGCAAAGCCACTTCTCCTGGTTGTGTCATGATGTCCAGCAGAATGGCAGCTTTGGATTATCAGCTCTACATCACTTTCAATTTGGCTGGGAAAAACAATCGCCAGAAATCCTGTATTTTTGGGGGATGTTATTAAAGAACCAGTTGTTCCACCACCTCTTTTCAACAAAGTTAGAATCCTTGAATTTGATGTAGGGCCTTGTCACGTCGATCAGACGTCTCAAAGCGCTTCACAGAATATACTGTGAAGTGCAGTGTCTGTGTATTTTGTGGGCACTGCTGGAGATTTACCAGCTAAAGAGGCAGAGCTTGCCATTGTGAACACTATCCGCAGGTTTGTTGGGAAAATTGCTGCCGAATTCTCTGCAATTCACTATGAAATGTGCAGTACAAAGGCAGCATTCGACTCACTCACACTATCTAAAATAAACATCTTTATCCCAAGATTATCAAGAAGGAATATACGTGAAGACAAGTTTATACCCATCCCTGTGTCATTCGCATTTCAATAGGTCCGGGATTTCTGTCTCCCAGGATTCCTCAACTATCAACCTGTAATAATAATCTCTCGAATAACAAAATTCAATAAAAGATGTTTAACAGTTAATCTGAGAGCACAATGATAGCTGCAGATAGACAAGAGGTCATCCAATTGCTTATTAATGGGTTTCTGCTGAGGATCAGGGCAAGTAGGACACTGCTGTGCGCAATTGGCTGCCGTGTTTCGCCCACAAATATACAATCAATACCCTTTACCTTTTATTCTGTGAAGCGCTTTGAGACGTCTCGAAGACGTGATAAGGCGCTATATCAAATGCAAGGATTGTTATTATTGTTATGATGGATCCTTTGATTGTAGCAAAACTCATCTAAAATGTGGTCACATATTTTCCTCACTTGTGTCCACCCCTGTGAGACTATGCTGCCCACTTTAGTCGACTGAGTCTGTAGAATCTTTCCAAATAGATAGTCCATTGATGTCATTTTTGACTCGTCAGAAGGTACATGTCAAAAGCTACTCTCTTTCATCCCTCACCAATCAGTGTCAGATTCTAATCCCAGGCAACGCAGCAGATTGTTTTTGGGGGAGAGCAGTGCTTAATGAATAAAACAGAAGAGTTCAATGGAGTGTTTCACCATTAAACTCTAGATAAACCTAATTGTTTAATAGTTAAAGAGGTCTTGCAGTGGCAGCTTCATAACAGAATAATGAATGAGAGATAGATTTGCTAAGTTGAATCAGTAGGCACACCATTTCAATTAATAATTAATAGATATGAAACTCACTGCGTCCGATTTGTCATTTGATCATATCCAACTTAACTCTGTGAACACTCAATGTCCTTCAGCAAACTTCCGACTGAACATTTTCGGTCATAAAGTATTTTACCTTTAGTTTGACTGCTAATGCTGCGAATTCAGTGAATCTACTTAGCTATTTATAACTGAGAGACTTTTTTAGTTTGGGTTCTAGCTGGACAAGCAGCGGGAAAGCTTGCCAGACGGCGCTCTCAAAGGAAAGTTAGGCGGTTTTAGTTGATTAGACTCCAGCAGTTGCCCCAATGCACACTCCGGGGTTCCCCCCAAACCTTGGTTCTTGCCAAACTACGCCTAATACTTTGGAGACTCTTGAGCAACGGTGATGGGTTTCCGCGTGTGTTAGTCACCCGGCTGACAAAAAAAAATCAACCAGTCACACCACATATTACAGTATATCCTGTGAAGTGGGTTTTTGTTTAGAATACTGAACAGCACAGCGAATTCTCATGGTGCAGTATTTGCGAAGGTGACGTGGGCTGTGCTGCATCATCCTCAGTGTTGCTGACACAGGAGAACCAGAGTCATTCCGTCGCTTACTTTTAGAATCAAGAGACGTTCATAACACAGAAGGGGGCGTTTGATCTATGGGGTCTTGGCTGGTTCTTTGGAAGAGAAACCCATTCAGTCGCGTTCACTCCAAATCCACGCAAGTTCTTAATTTTTTCTATCTCGTTCCCTTTCAAACGCAAATAAGGAATCGTTAGCTTCAACCACCACCACCAACGTGCACTTATATATAACGTCCTCCACGCAGGGTAGCATCTCGAAGCATTTACACCTGGCAGGGCATTCCACATAACAACTCTCTGTGTGTAGAATAATCCTCCTAATCCCAAATACAGTTTCTCTCCAATCTGCTCGATCAAAACCCCTCGTCATTTTTAAAGACCTTGATCAAGTCTCCCCTCAACCTTCTCTGCTCCAGGGAAAATAAACCCAGTTCCTCTTGTCTCTAAAATACACCAAAGAGTCAACGGTTGTTGTAAACAACTTAATTTTTGCAATTGCTATTCAAGTCAGTACTCTATATAATGCCATATGACAATTCAATTCACAGACAGACATGCTATGCTTTGTGTGGGGAGGATGCATGTTTTATGATCACACATGTGGTTAATGATCCCTTGCATATCTAATTCTACTGGGAAATGTTTCAGCAGGTATTAAATTAACAAACTATTGGAGTCTAACAGCACCACATGGCTTTTGGTAATGGATAATGGGTCAACAACAAAAAAAATCTAACCTCAGCTACAACGCTGCTGTGGGCGATTGGCTGCCACACTTCACCCACAAAATACAATCAATTCACTTTACAGTGTATCCTGTGAAGCGCTTTGAGACATCTCAGAGATGTGATAAGGCGCCGTATCAAATGAAAGGATTGTTATTATTAAAAGACTCGAAATGTGCCCTTCACTGTATCCAACAACCTCAAACGGTCTTTTTTTTAATAAACTAGGAAGCAGTTCTACGCAGTTGTTAGAAGCCTCTCAACATGATCTGCAAGCAAATGTTAAAGGGTTGTTCAGTGAAGCTGTTTACGGCTCTCCATCGCTCTGCCGATCATTCTCATTCTGTAAACATCACCTGCACCAGCCTTTGTCTAACAAGCACTCGAGTCAAAACAGCTCAATCTGACTGTGATTTCAAACCATTTTTTTTTTTCCGAATATCTAGCGACATAGTCTTCAGGGAGAATAGAAGTCTTTAGTGCAGTCCCTAGGTACCATTTCTTATTAACCTTTAACAGAAAGCAAATTCACTGGAGGTAAAATGCTGACAGCCAAAGGCTGGAGACCTCTGCTTGTAGATTTGTTCCTACAGAACCCCAGCACAAAGCAGCTAAATGCTTGATGTCTTTACGGTGTAACCTGTGAAGCGCTTTGAGACGTCGCAAGAACTATTATTATTATTATTCTCATCCATCTCAGTGCGATTGGTGAATTCGCACGTTGGTGCTAAATTGTGGCCAGATGGGGAAGAACGTAAAAACAAAACCAGATGAGGACTCTGAGCTCTTGTGAGGTGCCTGACTCTTCTGCTAACCACAGCACAAACAAGATGTGTGACCACAGTCGATCAGCATTCATTCTGCAGTCACATTTACTGAAACGCCACGGCAGAAGACGGTTTAATTTACTGACCTTCTCCCAGGCGCCGAGATCCATTATAATTAGCAGTCGTCTCACTGTCTTTCAAGGTTATAATTTACTTCTGAAAAAATAATCCACACAGAGAATTTTGTTTTCGCTCTGATCTCAGTGAACAAAAGCTTTGGTTATACTACTAATAAAAATTAACCCTTGCGTTTGATACAGCGCCTTATCACGTCTTTGAGACGTCCCAAAGCGCTTCACACGACACACTGTAAAGTGAATTGACTGCATTTTGTGGGCGAAATATCAGGGCAACACTCAACAAAGGGAATCTAGGTCTTTGGAAAAGAATTATATAATTGCTGCCAGTCAATCAAGTAAAAATACACTGTTTTTCTATAAGAAATTATTACATGCAACAGAATAATGTTTATTATTGGAAACTTTGTGCCTGTGGGATTGTCACAGCCAGGCTGTTTGCCAGAAAATGTTTCCATAATTTTATAGTAATAATAATCCTTGCATTTGATATAGCGCCTGATCATGTAGTTGAGACGTCTCAAAAGTGTAGTGTCTGTGTATTTGTAGGTGGATGTGGAAACCAATTGGCACACAGGAATGTCCTTCAAACAGCCATGAAATGAATGACCTTTTTTTTGGCGGGGGGTTTTGGGGCGGGGGGGCTGGCGGTGGAGCGTTTCAAATTGTTGGACAGGAGATCAGAAAAAAAAAACCTTCTTGTTGAGCAACAGTGCCACAGGATATTTAATCACCACCTCAAATAGGATATTTAATCACCACCTGGTTTAACATCTTATTCGAAGGATGGCACCTCTAACAATACAGAGCTCCCCAGCACTGAATTAAAGTGTCTGCCGGCCGTGAGCTCCAAGTCCCGACGTGGGGCTTGAATCCACAACCTTCTGACTCGGAGGTGAGAGTGTTTCCAACTGAGCCGGGCTTATGCAGATAGGATATGAGCTACCTTATGTTACACGCTCTGTTTGCCAGCAGGCAGTAGGAACCCGGCTGGTAGTCGATTGGCGGATTGCTTTCCCTGGATAATAATCCCTTCAAAAAAAAATTGGTCATTCAATCCACTTTGAGACCTCTGAAAGGCTGAATTGCCTGTCGCGTTTCGCCCACAAAATATACAGTCAATCCATTTCACAATATATTCTTCAAAGTGCTTTCAGATGTCTCAACGACCTAATGAGGTGCTATATCAAATGCAAGGATTATTATTATTATTAAAGTACATGAAAGCTCAAAGGCTGCAAAAGCGCTGGACTGAAACCATTGTCTCTGGGGAGAAGCAGGGAATGTTGATTCCTTCAAACCAGATGAAATAATTTTCTTTTAGGAAATGATATGATGGGATACAGTACACAGGGAGTTCGGGACACGAGTGCAGGCGACGGAAGGTGGAAGGCGGAAGGCGAACTAGCTGGACCTTGGTCTTTTTTCGTCAGCATTTCTTATGTTTTTATGAAGTTTGATCAGTCTGGGAACGTCACCTGAAGATCCATATTGCCCTCAACCCCAAACTGACAGGGTTACTTTACACAATAGACAAGCGGTGGATGCGATACGATGCTGTGAAGTCTGTAACTGGGCACAACGTAGCACCTCATTCAATACTTATCAGGTCGGGACACAAGGAGAAATCCCTGCCTTTCTAAAGAGAGACAAGGATCTTTCATACTCTCCTAACAGGCAGATGCGAGGACCAGTTATCTTATTGCAAACGTTGGCCACTTGATCAGTGGCACAGCTGCTGCAGGTTTTACTCTGAAGCCTTGGGGAGCTCTAGGAACATCTTCAGCACAGTTACAGTAATAAACCGCAGGTTATTATTCTTCGTAATATCCAGGTGCCAGATTTGAACGTTCCACTTCAATCTGTTCTGCGCGTACCTGTTCTTTTTCGCAATTCACATAAGGTCTAAACAACTCTCCTTTGGTGGTTTTAACATCAGGCAAAGAAATTCTAAATATAGAGGCGGTAGGAATCAGGGTTGACTGGTTGGAACTGTACTGCCTGATGGCAATGTCTAAATACCAGGTCTCTGCTCAAGAGCAAGAATGAGACAAAATCTTAATTACTAGTATTAAGCTCCTACACGAAAACACTCACAGGCCACACTCTCTCACAACGAACCCGAGTCTTTAACATGAACTCATTAGGTGGCTGAAGCATTTCCATTAGATAATACAGTATCGCCTTCAATACCCAGCGTTAGTAATCAAAGGTGCCTTGTCAGCTGTTTCATTTAGATTTTTTTATGGGTAATGTGCTATAATAAAAATTATAGTAACAATCCTTGCATTTGATACAGCGCCTGATCATATCTTCGAGACGTCTCAAAGCGCTTCACAGGATACACCTGTAAAGTGAATCGACTGTATATTTTGTGAGGCATATTTCCCTTCTAATTCTTGTTTTGATGATCACAGATTATTTATTGACTGATGCTATTTAAATCAGTCGTTGTTCAGCACACGTAGCTGTAAATTATCTCCGTGTGAAACTCTTTTCATCGATCCAGTTTAATGATTATTGAAAAGTAAAATTAATACCAAGGTATCAGCCTTGTGCTGTTTATTGAGATAGTCCCTCATAGCTGTCAAAGGCAACTGAGAGTTAATATTAAACACACAATAAATACCCCAGACGTGGTGCTTTTCTATAGTATTAATTCAAAGTCACCATCAACAGACAGAGAACCTGACCTTTTGTCTAAAATACTGCACGACAAGGTTCACGTGGCAAGGCCCCCCCCCCCCCCCAAAAAAAGTAACTTTACTGTAGTTATAATAATAATATTATTAATAATAATGATAATCCTTGCATTTGACACATCTTCGAGCCGACTCAAAGCGTTAGAGCTGTCTCTTCGCAATCTACAGCAGTTGTAGTCTCAAGACTTCCAGCATCGTGTCCTGCTGTTCTGCCAGTCTGTGCCGTGATCAGCCGAACGCACTGGGGCTCGACTCAGAATTCAGGTGCAACGAGGAAGAAAAACGGCAGAACATTTTCATGAGTGACGACACTCAGAAAACCACAGTTGCAAATAAAGAAACCCAGAGCGCACAATTCCAGCACCTAGGGTATGTCCTCCGACGCGAAAGGCGCTATATCAAGTGCAAGGATTATTATTACATCAATACAATTTGCTGCTGCTGTTGTTATAAATGTCCATGAAGTATTGTAGTGATCAGAGCGAGATCGACCAAACCAAAGTTAATCAGTTGCTGAGCTTGTCCAGTCAATATGAAACCGTTATGAATAAAACTAATCAAATTTGCCTAAACAAGTCAAATATCGGTTGCATCATGAGGGACGGTAAGTTGAAATAGCAAGAATAATCTGTGCATTTGGTATAGCGCCTTATCATGTCGGAAGGACATCTCAAAGCGCTTCACAGGATTTACTGTGAAATGGAGTGACTGTGTATTTGTTGGCAAACACAACAGCACAATTGCTTACGGCGATGTCCCACAAACAGCCACAAAATGAATGACCAATTTTATTTAGGGGATTGCTGACCAGGACACCAAGAGAAACTCGCTTCCCTCTTCGAATAGCGCCATGACATCTTTAACGCCCACCTGAAACAGGCAGACGCAAACTCAGGTTTGACGCGATTGCATGGATCACTGGATAGAAATATAATGTGAGGAATGGAGTCATACCTGATGTGGGCTGTTTACATGTGTTCCTTCCAACGCAGAAGGTAAAGGGTTGCCAAGGAGTACAAGAGTTAAACACAAACTATTTGCATTCTTGTTAAATACGCAGCTTTGCCTCTGCAGTGCGCAAAGGTAAATGTCAGGTTTGCACCTAGTCACAGTTCAAGGCAACTGCACAGTATTTATTTTTGTGCTTACAAGAGGAAATGGGGAAAAAAAAATCAGCCTCAGGCGAGAACTTGGCTGATGCACATCAACAAGCTACATGTTCCTTATCGAATGCACGGCTCACATTTCTCTCTCACACTGTGAACATTCAGCTCGTCTTAATTGTGCCATAAGCAAAATTACTCCACACCTGCAATTTGCGAGGGGACCATCTGGTTTGAGGTATATTACTCTGATGCTCGGTTAAAACAGGAAATGTTCTGGCTGTTTTTTTTTAACTAGAACAGAGAAGGTGAAGGGGGTATTTCACAGATGTTTTCAAAATAATAATAATAATAATTTCAAAATAATAATAATAATAATAATCCCCGCATTTGATGTAGCGTCCTTCGTGTCGGGAGGAAGTCTCAAAGTGTTTCACGGGTTATTATTAAAAGGTCTATTTGGTAAGCAGAGGAAAATACAGCGATCAAAATAAATATTATCTGATTTGGATAGAAAGGCTGCTTTTATCACAATCTAATGTTTAACTTGTGTTTAAACGGTAATATTTACACCCAACTTACCTCTTTTAAAGTACTTTTGAGTAAAGTAATATATCATTCATTCCCAGTGCTCCACCAAACATTTTGGGGGGAAATGTACCATTTGACGGTTTTGCTGCTATAATTAGTAATAAGATCCCTAATGAGGAAATGTGAATCTATAACTAGATCCACAAATAGCTCAAATCTTCAAATTCATCTCATGTTTCCCCTCACTCTATTAATGATTTTATCTACCCGCTAAAAAAAAATCATTATCCATCACTGGAAATGAGAGGGAGCTCCATAAATAATTTTATCTATTTAATCAAATTCATCATTTTAATTACTGCACCTCAATTGCGCTCAGAGAGGTAAGGAAAGAGCAGGTAAGGAAACGGATTGTCTACTATATCCTTCAACAAGGGGTGTAAATTCTGTTCTAAACTGGAATTCGTATCCAAGTGAAAATGATACTGAGATGTTTCGGATCTTCTTCGGAAACGTTTCCTGGGCAAATATGGTTAAATTGGGGCTTTCCAGGGGTAATAATCCCTTCCAAGAATAATAATAAATTGGTCACTCAATCCACGACTGTGGGACACTCACTGCTGTGCGCAATTGGCTGCCGCGTTTCACCCACAAAATACACAGCAATTCACTTCACAGTCTATCCTGTGAAGCGCTTTGAGACGTCCTCCTGACATGATAAGGCGCTGTATCAAATGTAATTT